TGGATATAAAAACACTGAGATATTGCTTCAAACTATTGCGGAGATCACAGGCACGCGCGAATTACTGGTGCATAGTTTAAGGCCCTAATACATTAATAGCGTCAGATAAAAGTTCTTAACAATTTAAGTTCTCAAATACCTCGTTCGTGGACATTTACCAGTATTATTGTAATTTTTTATCAAGAAAATCTTACAAATTGTAACGAATGAGTCGAATGGTCTGGGCCTGACCACATTTAGGCAGAATCTACAATTTATCAGCGACAGACTACGAATTAAGCTCTCTGATTGGTTGTTGCTCATTGGTGTTACGATTTGCCATCTTATTGCTAAAGGCCGGTAGATCAGCTGCGTTCATTATTTTCCTCAAACTGTTTGGATTGATCAAAATCGATCGTTTATTTTATCCAGATGTAGGGTAACTAAGACTGACGGCGGCGCCATCTTTTCACTTGGAGAATTTTGATGGGGAAAACAAATTTATTTCCAATTTTGAGGTTAACAACGAGATCAGCGCTTTGATTCTAACGTGTTTTAATCTTTTTTCAATAAATTTTATATGTAGACACTTGATATACTAAACCAAAACTCGGTTGTCCACTGAATATATTTAATATCAGTCCATAGTACTTTTTTCACTTCCCTTTGACTGACCGATTTATAGTGAAAATTTGTTGGCAATTTAGAATTAAAATTCATATTAGCGATTAGCTATTAGAAAAAGATGGCACCAATACTGCGGGAATAGAAAAGCTACCCGTGATTGACAAGGTAATTTGCAGCGATTAGCAATAAGCAATCAGAAACATTTATTTATGGCCTATTGCTAACCAGTAGTACGTTCTTTTCAGGACGATATAAGTAGTAAAATGAATTTTAAATTAATTTTTACGCGAATTGACTTGCTTAAATTCCCTCTCGCGTTTGGTGTCAGGTGTGGGGTGATTCAGGACGAGATGGCTTTGACAATACGGGAAACAAATTTGCTTTACTTGAACAACTTTGCTTAGCCTTTCAATCAGCTTCTCCTTTGGAGATCTTTCACTTTTGATACTGCTGATCTAAATAATTCAATAGACTAAACCATTCTCGAAGATTGCGCAACCAAGAGATTCTTCGGCGCTCTACACTTCGTCTACTTACAATTTTGACCTCTATAATGCGTTTCAGCAGCTCATATCTTGTACCGCGTGATATATGTCCCAGGAACTCAAGTTTGCGTTTTTTAATGGTAAAGAGTATTTCGAGTATTTGTCCATTCTTCCAAACACTTCCTCGTTTGTAGATCCACTCATCCACGAGACTCTCAGCATGCAAGCATATAAGCAGCATATAAGTCCACATTTCAAAAGCTTCCAACCTCTTTGTGGTTCTCTATTCAGCGTCCAGCCTTCCAAGCCATAAAGGAATACGGGAAATACATAGCATTGCACCATTTTTGTTCTGCCAAGTTATTTGTAGTGTCTTACTTGTTCAATTGTTTTCCCCTCTACGATGAGCTGACCTGTTGCTTGCTTCCTTTTTGTTATCATCATCATTTTAGTCTTGTTGATATTCATGTGGAGAATCGTATTCTTTCCTAGCTTTCAATACTTTGTTTAATCGTCTCTGTAAATCCTCGAGAGAATCACCACACAAAACAGTGTTGTCAGCCTACCTAATATTATTAAGCATTTATTTAAGTATATGTTGAATAAGATTGAAGATAAGATACACCCCTGTCTGACACCCTTCCGTATACTGACCTCGGAGAGAGCGTTATCTGTTCTGACTTTAGCGGCTCGACCCCAATACAGCTTTGATATAATGAGAAGGTGAAAATCCGGAAACCTATTTATTTGAAATTGATTGTGTCGTGTCTTCTGTTTTGGCAAGTGTGGCAAATACGGAAAGAAGTTACTAGAAAATTCTACAAACTTGGAAGAAAAAATTGACAGACAGTAGGAGCTGATTTTAAAATCACCAAACAGTATATCTGCCAGGTATTTCGGTGTCTAGTTTTGTTTGCATACACGAAATGTAACAAAAAATTGAAGAAAATTCTGGAGACATTAAAAACCAGTAGAAGGAATTCTGAAATGTGCTAATTTAAACTCATCGTGTGAAAATGAAGTAGATCAGGCAGACATTTTGATGTCTAGTGGTGTGACAAAATCCGGAATGTGCATGAAGTCGTCGAAATTCGACGGGAAAACAACATGGTCTCTGTTAGAAAAACCTAATGCTATAACTTTGGCTTTGTGCGGTCGTGTGACGGAAATCATTGCGATGGCGGTCGTTATCTCTGGCAGAACTAGGCAGCTGGTGAAACCGCTAGCATATCCACCACCAGCACACCATTCGGAAATTGAGAAACTGCTACTTCTTGCATATGCAAGAAGAAGAAATTTTATGGAGCGGTGAAACCAGGCAAGCATTTAATTTTGGCCGCCCTAATGCGGATCCGAATGACGACCAGAAACACATCGATGATAGAAGAATAGCATACAGAATAGTATACATAAGGTGTCGTTGCGGCAAGGTGGTGCCGCCCGTCGCGACGCCGTCGGAAAGCTAAACAGGATCAATAGTGTTTTCATGGATGCATTGGTCAATAGAAAAAAGTGTGCTTTGTTGCTGGATACATTCGCGACCAAGACAATTACTAGGCGCACACAAGAAAATTATACAGACCACGGAGAAGCAAATGTTTTCCCGGTTATCGGGAACACTTCATTTGAACATCGGTATATATATACATATATATATATATATATATATATATATATATATATATATATATATATATATATATATATATATATAAACCGTTTCTAATGGTAGTACTTCCGCTTCTTTTTGGGCTCTGAGGGTTTTACAGCAACTTAGTGAGGATGAAAAACATGCGCTGCCAAAGTTCTAATGACAGACAAGTTAGTTGACGATTTAGTTACAGGCTCTAGCTGGGCAACTGATGCTATATCTCTCCAAAAGGAGTCATCACTCGTATTGAATGCCGGAAGCTTTAAATTACACAAATGGGCTAGCAATAGTAAAAAAGTTTTATGGCGATAACATACCCCCGAAAATTGGTATTATATTTCCATGGGCCAAAAAGGTTTATACCCCTAACATTAACATTGGCCTATACATAGTGAAACTAAAAGAATCTCCTGAAAGAGGAAAAAGCTATAAAAATTATTAGTTTATTGACAACACAACCTCAAAACTTAAATTTTATTTCAGTATTGTTAAACAAATACAAAATAAAGAGAAACTATATGATGAATTTTTGTCTTACCAAGAAATCAGAAACATTAATAAAAAATGAACAATCAATATATTTTTCCAAGTTAATTAAAATTAATACAAAATTATGGAAGCAATTTGCAAAAATTAAGTTTATTTTTGGACAAAAATACATTATTAAAGATAAGAAATTTCCAATTTTGTTGGATCGTGAAAATAGATTGACTTATCTAATTATACAATATTTTCACTTAAAATACTTACATGCTGGTTTATGAACCTTACATTGTTTGCTAAGTCAACAATAATGGATTATTTTCGCTAGAAGACAAATACGTCACGGTTTGTAGAAATGTATGCCATGCGTTAGATTTCCACCTAAGTCAGTAGGAGCTCTTCTTACATATACATACATATACTTGTTTGGGTGTAAGCTGTCCATATTGAAATAGTGAGTGATTTGACTGCTGACGCGTGTCACGTAGAAACTATGTAACTGATATGTACTAATGGACAATGGTACTAATTTCGTCTCCGCAAACCTACAGTTATTACGAATAGATTCGACAGCCCAAATTTAGGTGGTGTTTGGGAATCTGGTTTTCAAAACCATCTTTTTAGAACCATTGGCTGGCTAATTCTAACTTATGAAGAGCTACTTACGGTTACTTGTCAAATCAAGGCAGTTTTAATCACACGCCTTTTAACTGAAGATCCATCGGATCTTAATGATACTGCCGCCCTGGCCCCTGGTCATTTTTTATCTTTAGAACCGTTAACTGCACTACCTATGTTGATTGAAAGGATTTCTGGACATACTCTCTAACCGAGAAACAAGCGTGTCGCCTAGTTATCATTAAAAATGCTTTCCGGCAATCACTGCAGTAGCAACTGGGACAAATCGTTGAGGTTTTCCCTGGCAGAGAAGGAGTAAATAGAGTAGCGACTGTTAAAACAAAGGATTCGGTGTTAAGGAGGTCGATCACAAAATTATGTCCTCTGCCGTTTGATGATTTAGAAAATGCAATGCACATTTTCGGAGTATGTAAAATTTTCATAGACTGCTTTTATTGTTTGTTTAGTTGTTTTGGGTTATTTACTTTATTACACTACTAGTCGTTTAGCGTCTCCATTTTATATTATTTTCTTTCCATATGTATACAAATATAATAAAATAGAATGTGAAGACTCCACCAGGCCTGCGCAAGCAATTGTGTGGAGGAGAAAAGGAACTGTTTTTGGTGTGTGAACGAGGGCTCTAGGGCGCACGGTTGTACGGTTCGGTACCGACCATAATTTTCCTCAAAAACCCTTAAAAAACCACGTTAGTTAAAATTCGCGCATGCAACGCAAGAACTGTGAATAGGAATTAAATTTCTTTCAAAGCGGTAAGTCCCTCTCCATGAGACTATATCACTGTTACGCAATTAATTTGAACCAACTCATCCAAAACACCAGCTATCGGGGTGAAACATATATTTTGTTTGAAATAGGTGGCAACCAATTTTGTGTTGAAATTTGTTATCTGCCTTATATTGACGAAGTATTTTTTTAACAAAATTGACTAATTTAATTCATGCATTTCGTAAAACCTTTTTGGCCCCGTTAAATTCCGGAGTTCCAAAGAGACGGTCAGGCTGACTGATTCTCTTGGTCTCTAGCAGGGAAAATATCGGAGAGGCGGCAACGTGTTCCCGCATCAACGTACATCGTCTGCCGGGAATGTTCCGGCGGCCCGTTGCGTCACAACGTCGCACTGCACGGATTGCATCCAATCACGGGTGGGCCGCGTCTCGGGCGCCGAGGCGAGGTGCGCGCGTCTGCGCACCGCGACGCCCCCCGACGGCGGCGGAAGCGCCCGAGAGCGCGCCGCGACCGTTCGGCCCCGTCTCCGCCAGTACCGTGTTGATATCGGAGCGTAGCACGCGATAACGGACGAGACTGAGACCGGTCTGTGTATTATTTACCTTTAGTGTAGTAGTAGTGCATTCAGTCGCATCGAACGAGTGTTATGGAGGGCCAAAATCAAGACCTGGTGCCCGGCAGCAGTCCCGCGGAGGTGCCCAACGATCCCGGGTGAGTTTTCAACCGCCCCCGCGGAAGGGGGGGGGGCGATCACCGCGCACGTGTTCGTCACCCTTACGCTAAGCGTCTCACTGTTGTTTCAGGAAAATGTTTATCGGGGGACTGAGTTGGCAGACGAGTCCAGGTAAGATTGTCGATTCTTGTGGAGAGTGTAGTGCAGTGCCGGTTCTCGAATTGTGTCCCTCGCCCTACCCTGCTATTTTTTACCCATTCTTTTAGCCTCCTTATCCATTGCATAACGTGCGTTTAGGACGTAATTGCAGCGCGTGCCCATTATTTGTTTACCACGCCGATTATCATTGAAAAGCACGTGTTTCGCGTCATCCCCTCTCCCACCTACTCCCTCTTCCCCGTCATCTCACGCGTTGCCCCGTGGTTGACGTTGACGATAAAACGATCTCGGGAAGCGAAATAAGGTGGCGCGCGCGGTTTTATGCCGGCGGCGTCGACATTTAAAATTTTGAAGTTTGCCGCAGCGGACCTGCGCGCTACCGCGCCTCAGGGGCGGCCTTTTGATCGGACCGGCGCCCCGCAGATGGCGCCACGGGTACCCGGAACGGATTTTTCGTTTCCTGTTCGATACGTTGCTGGCCCACTTTAGGACGTTCTTTCAGACCGGCGTTGCCAATTCGGTTTCGCGCGTCGCGTCTAGGCTAGCGCTAGTTTCTTTAGCATATCTTACCACCGATACGATCCTTTCAAATTTTCTGACCTTACAATTTCAAATAGCCACTGAAAATTTGTCTCCCAACTTGGCAACCGCGCAGCGGATCAGCTGTTATGAACAGTTTTCGTTTATTTAAATTGTTCGCCCTTTAAACCCGCCTTAGGACAGAATTATATGCGAAAAATTAGTGTTGCTTTTAAACCATTTGAAAACGCCCTTTGCTGCGCATGACTTGAAACTTCGGATCTCCCAGTACCAGATGTCTTGTCCCTTTCAAAACGATTACTATAAATGACGCACATTTACCTTCTTCGCAAGGCTGTTGATAACATCTTATTTGAAAAATGCATTGTAAAGTTTTTTGGATACCATTAATTTAATAACAAAAATTGCATTGCATGGATTGAATTTCTGATAGCGAGGATAGATTTAGTCGTCATCACTAACACAAATCCAATAAATAAAGTCGCATACGATGAAATTACACCATACTCGGAGATCAATTAAACTTACGGTACATTTGAGATCATTGGAAAAGTATAGTTAGGGTAATTATTATGTCCTGTAATAAATAGTTTGTGATTTAAAAAAAAAGCATTCAAGCATTCAGTGTTTTATATACAATATTGTGCATTATTTTGAAATATTCAAAATTATAATTTCATTTGTTCCTAGTGTGATCAAAGTATCAAAACAATGTATTCTTTGCAGTATTACATTATGACAAGTTTGTTATTTGATATCTTGCCGGTATGCGTAAAAATCTAAAGTTCAAGTTTTAAGCTAAGGTTTTAAGTTATGATTTTTACCCGGTTTTTATCCTTTGCGTCATGCGTGTTGAGAAGGACACTATAAGAAAGCTCCGACTTTGTTTGGATGATTATATGCAAGTTGGTCTATAAATAAACTTTTGATAATAACTTGTAACTCGAAAAGTAACTAGCCTGGAGTATTTTTCGAAGAGTGGCGCTGCAGAGTAAGGATAGTATATAGAACCTACTTTACAATTTCGACTTCCGTGTAAACTATGACTCGCCACCTGTCGATCGGAAGAATTTCCCATTAACTTCAACAAAAATCCCACGTATAAGTCGTATATTTACAATCCTGGCGGTATATCGTATAAAACATATTTAGAGGCTTTATCGTTTATGCCATAAATTTAACGTTATATACACCTTGCGATAAAATTCCTTATCGCATCCCTCAAACATAAGAAATATACTCAACCGCATTTTATCTCTCGAAAAACCATAAATTCCCGGTTAGCGTTCGCTGTCGTTATCGGGCATCTGCGGAGACGTGTTCACCCACTTTTTTTAACACCTAAATCGATAAATGATTTTCTTTTGACATAGTTTTGGGGATCTGGTTGTCATAAAACGTTTACTCCATTCTACGTGGTAGCGTTATTAATTAATCTACAGAGGTGTATTCTGCATGTACATTCTGGTCGATCCTATACATACGGTGTAATTAGTTTAATTGGTTGACGTGCATCGAAATCAGAGAAAAAAAACGCACAACTACATAAAATTATGGGAAAGATATATTCTATGGTTACATGTTTATGTGGACTTTAGTCGTATAGCCAATACACATTATAATTATCCTTCTAATTAAACATTGCCAGTAAGTATCGGGTTTTTTTACGGAGTCATTCAACGTTCACAGTTTTTGTATCATTTTTAAGCCTGTGATACTGAGGTCCAGTTTGACGTTGCTGACAGAGTTGCGATCTCCTTAACTCATTTCGGATCTAAATGATGCCTTGCGAGTTATGATTTTTTTTTGTTTATTTTAGTTTTCGTTATAATTTACGTCAGCCGCCATAAAAAAGAGCCAACAAAAAATTATGAAATTGTTTGTTGTCAATTCAACCTCCGATCCCCTCAATAGATAATAGACAAATGTTTTTACAAAGTGTAACATAATGTCATTTGTAAGAATTTACACAATCTTAGTAAATATTTGCATAAAAATATAACAAACAATTTAATTTTGACAAACATAAAAAAAATGAATAAATAGGTAGGTATTGCAGGGCAAGAGGTTCGTTGTAATTTCAGTGGCCATCCTTAGTATTCTATAGTATAGACGGAATTCTTTACTAAATTATTTTTAGTACACTTCTTCGTATTTTTTTATCATATTTTTTAAATCATATTGAACGTATCTGGATTCGGGGTAATCTGTATTATTGGTAGTTAGTATTAGTATTATTTTTTATAGGCATAATTAAAATTAAAATAAATAGAGATGGGAACGTTATTAAGTTTATTTTAGCAAATCATGATGAGTATGTATATGGTTTAAACAGAATAGTTCTCACTATTCTTTTTTGCGCCCTGAAACGCTCACCAGCCCTCGCACGGTTATCACAGCACAGGCATACGGCATACGGCAGGCGTGCTGGACTATATACATAATAGCAATACAACAAAAGCTGAGTACCCATTGTATAACTTAAAACGTCAACTGACAGTTTTATTAAGTAATTTAACACCCTTATTTAAATCTGTCACGCTAAAAAGCATCATTCCAGTTTTCGATTCATTTAAAGCAAGTGCATTTTCGCTGCAAAAAGTCCTCAAATGCAGCTACGTAATGGCTACGAAACTCCCGCATACTACTGTCAAAGGAAATTATAAATAGAAGTGGTCCGAATATGCTTCCTTGAGGCATGCCACTGATAACTAGAGCATAATTCGAACCCACCGAAATATCGTTACTTTGCAAAGTCGTTTTCTGTTCTTCCACTCATCTCGCGCTTATCAAGTTTGTCGGGCAGTCATTCTTTACCTACGACGTCAGTAGCTCTCTTCAAATCAGAAAGATAAACAAGAACTTCTTATTCTCTTCTAAACCAGATAAAACATGTTTCTTCAAAAAAGAATTGTTATAGAATCTTTTAAGTTTAGCTAGTTACCCCAGCAGAAATGTATAAGGTGTGAGATTTAGTTTTATTTTAGAACTGATTCCGGATTATTCTAGGGCTATTGTCACATGCGCAATATTAATTTCATGTGATTAAGTTTCCAAGGCGCAGGTGCGAATCACCCGCGAATGGTTCTAAAATAAAGTTTAAACAAACCTAAGTTCTTAACAGGAGCTTATGTTTATCTGTATCTATCAATTAATTTTGCTGATAGAAGTATGGTCTATTATAAATAGTGAAATAAATTGCATAATCGCATCTCAAAACAATTTTCATCGATGGGCTTTTGAAGCGACAGTTCAGATAAACTAGACTAGTATCAGATCACCACAGCAGTACAGGCTTGATTTTCTTACTAGGGTTCCTAAAAAATTGAGTTTCTATTTTTAAACAAATTACTAGAGCAAAATATGCCTTAAAATAAAGGTTTATTCTACGTTTTCTCTAATCTAACATTTATAACAACCGAAAATTGACACTGAAAGAACTGGTGGGATGGAAGTTGAAGCAAGTTAATCTAATTTGAACCCGAAATTAAGTGTAAATATCTTACCAATTTGGACAGTTCCTAATACATATATAATATCTGAATTGTAAATAAAATCGGCTACAAAGGTCAGTCTCGAGGTCACTGCTATGCATAATTAATTGTAGGCCAGGACCAGTGGGAGATAATAGCGTAATGAGAATAAAATATGGTTGCGGTCTAAGTATGGCATAGTGAAACCACTAAATATAATAGTTTTATTCCAACTGCAGTCGAAATCGGCTGGAACTGTCAATTCCTGTCACTCAACTAATTTTTTGAGTATCTATAGTAATTCCACACGTTGTAAGATTCTGTACCATTTGTACTGGGAGCCGGCCTTCAAAATTGGAAAATTTTACTCAAATAATAATGTTTGAAAAATGTTTTCATGTTCATATTACTTAATTCTAATATTTTTATAAGTTAAAACAACATGGACCAAAAAAGGAATACGTTATAGTTAATAATTAGACATCCCGTCATTGCCCGATTTGCTTAGTACCTAGGTACCCAAATTATAAAGTTTTAAATATTTACGGGTCAGTAGAAATCTGGATTCCGGTCGAATTGGGGTTAGTATAAGTTTTTATGCTCTTTTCGATTTTGGATTGTATAGTGAAGAGAAATATCAAAATGTAATGTCCGAATTTCAAATTGTTCTCTGATAATTACCGAGGTACTTATCAGTATACTTTTATTCTGATTTATATTATATAAATGGGAATTAGTTTAGATATCATCAACTACTTATCAGTTACTGGTAATGGGGGAGTAAAATATTCAAGGATATGCGAGAAATGCGTATGCGGTCGTCTCAATAGAGAAGAGCCCAGTGACGTGAGATGCGCAGAAGTGGCGTGGATCAAATCGTTCCGGTTGTTGTGCTTATATATAGTTCATTTTTGTAGAATATTATTTTCGTTTTGGTTACAGTTTCTTCGTTAAGGTAAAGCATTTTAATGAAATAATATTATTTGCGCCAAACCGGTA